CCAGCCCGGACCCGCCAAACAACAATGACGGCTGCAACCAAAAAAAAAAAAAAATAGCCGGGCGTTGTGGCGGGCGCCTGTGGTCCCAGCTACTTGGGAGGCGGAGGCAGGAGACTCGCTTGAGCCCAGGAGTTGGAGGTTGCTGTGAGCTGTGATCCCACGGCCCTCTACCCAGGGGGAGAAATTGAGGCTCTGTCTCAAAAAAAAAAAAAAAAAAAATATCCATGGTCCTCCAATAGATATACTATACACGTATTTACTCTCACTTGAGATCACACTACACATGCTATTTGGTAATCTGATTTTTTTTTTGTGCTTTGTCTCAAATATTCTTCCATTTCGATATATTATACTTAAGAGCTATGTGGCATTCTACCACATGAACCATAATTTAACTAGTTCCCTACTGTATATATTGCTATTGCCAAATTTTGATAATTCTGCTCTTATCTAACATAAGAAACACAACTTATTTGCATCATAAAAGTCATACAAACTATACAAAACCAACAAAAAGTAACCTCAAATATAACGACCCTCATACTGCTAGCACTCTTTCATCCAAATAATTACTTACTGAGCTCCTGCTACATGCCAGGTTTTTGTTTGAGCTTCCCCCTCCCCTTTATTTTTTGTAGAGATGGAATCTCATTATGTTGCCCAGGCTGGCTTCAAACTCCTAGGATCGAGTGGTCCTCTTGTCTTGGCCTCCCAAAGTGTTGGGTTTACAGACATGAGCCACCACACCTGAACTGGGATTTTCGTTACTTTTATTCCTAATAATTTCTCAGTACTACTTGTTTTTAAAACCTAGTCATATGCAGTAATAAGAAGGGGAAAGGAGTAGAACAAGGAGTTCAATCTGTAACTAACTGTGAACTACCTTTGTGATAACTACCTTCAGACCAGTTAGTACCATGCTTTTAAGAAACCTTTCTCATAAACATTTGCTGGTTAGTACAGTCTTCCCTATCATCTTTTTATGGGTTATTGTATATCACTTCCAAAATAGGATATGACCTTGTTAGTTACCCATTTCTCTAATGCTCAACAGATTTTGTGATAAATCTATCCTACTTTCCTCATCCTAAATATTTCAATTTAGTTCTAATTTTTATACTGTTTGGTGGTCATCACTGTTCAGTTAAATGCAAGTATATACAATGACCAACTACTGCTAAAGTCTACAATTACTACTTTACCTCCATACAGCACATTAAGGTTTCAAACACATATCCACCCCATCCCAACCAATTCTTCATTTACCTGCCACAAGCCTATGTATTTTACAAATGAGAAAAGGGAAACCCAAAGAAGTCACAAGTTTAATGGACTTGTCCAAGGCCACATAGCTATTAAGCTGCATGGCAAGGCTTTGATGCCCTAATATGATTAAAATAGGTTCAGTGACTGTAGCTCAGCAGCTAGGGTGCCAGCCACATACACCGGAGCTGGCAGGTTTGAATCCAGCAGGGCCTGCCAAATGACAACTAATATGATTAAAATAAAATTTTATGGGGCGGTGCCTGTGGCTCAAAGGAGTAGGGCTCCGGCCCCACATGCTGGAGGTGGCGGGTTCAAACCCAGCCCCGGCCAAAAAAGCTGAAAAAAATAAAAAAATAAAAAAAATGTTATGCTTCTTTGTCATCTGTTATACCTAATGAGTCTTTTCTTTAGAAAGCCTTTCCCAACATCTTTCATCAATTCTTGTAACTTACCATCTCTCTCTACACTCTGAACACATTTTTATCAGAGCACCAGCAACACTGATTTATAGGTTTCTTACCCTGTAAGTCTGTTTAAGACCCTCAGGAAAAGAATCCTTTTCTTTGAAATCCTAGTACTTAGTGCAGTGCCTGGGACAAAGTAGAAAGGCAAGTATTTAAAGTATAGAATGAGGGGACAGGCACAATGGCTCATACCTGTAATCCTAGCACTCTGGGAGACCAAGGAGGAAGGCCTGCTTGAGCTTAGGAGTTCGAGACCAGCCTGAGCAAGAGTGAGACCCCATCTCTACTGAAAATAGGAAAATGTAGCCAGGCATTGTGGCAGGTGCGTGCAGTCCCAGCTACTTAGGAGGCTGAGGCAGGAGGACCACCTGAATCCAGGAGTTTGAGGTTGCTGCAAGCTAGGCTGATGCAACAGAGTGAGACTGTCTCAATTGAAAAAAAAGAAAAGTTAAGAATAGTTGCTTTTAAAGAATTATCTTAGGAGCCACAAAGTCCAGCTTAGGATTCAGCCATTTTATGACTCTGAGTACTTAACAACTTAAATTCAGGGAAGCAGAAGGAGAGGGTTAACAGAATCAGTGTAAATGGTTAATTATGCTTGAATCAATGTGATATCTGTTTCCAAAGTTCTGTTTTATAAAATTTGTTATATAGTTTTAGACCCAATTTTTCTCATTGCTTCCTTTTTTCTTTCAAATTATAACCCTTAAAATTATTGGAATAGTCTTTTTTATTTTTTTTGAGACAGAGCCTCAAGCTGTCCCCCTGGGTAGAGTGCCATGGCATCACAGCTCACAGCAACCTCCAACTCCTGGGCTCAAGCGAGTCTCCTGCCTCTGCCTCCCAAGTAGCTGGGACTACAGCGCCCGCCAGAATGCCTGGCTATTTTTTGGTTGCAGCCGTCACTGTTGTTTGGCGGGCCCGGGCTGGGTTCGAACCCGCCACCTTAGGAGTATGTGGCTGGGGCCTTAGCCACTTGAGCCACAGGCGTAGAGTCTGGAATAGTCTTGATGACAATATTTCTGACTTGGTTCAGATATCTAAAATTGCCCATCAAGCTGTCTTGTGCATGTCAGGCATGTACTGCAATATGCATGCAAGCAAGCATCATTTAATATAATCTAACCTCTAAATTCCACAGTAAAATACAACAGGGACAAAGTAAGAAGGTGAACAATAGAGCTATTCTATAGCTCAAAAGTACCAATTCTCAAATGTTTTCACTGTAGTACCTATACAAAGAGCACTTCCCACTCCTAGGCACTCATGCCTCATTTTGTTGAAAACCTGTGTTATGGCTGGGCGCCTGGAGCTCAGTGTTTAGGGTACCAGCCCCATGTTCCAGGGCTGGTAGTTTCAAACCTGGCCTGGGCCTGCTAAACAACAACAAAACAATAGCCAAGTGTTGTGGCGGGTGCTTGTAGTCCCAGCTACTAGGGAAGCGGAGGCAAGAAAATCAATTGAGTACAGAGTTGGAGGTTGCTGTGAGCTATTACGCACACCACAGCACTCTACCAACGGTGACAAAGTAAAACTCTCTTTCAATAAAATAAATAAAAGAAAACCTGTGTTATCTTAGCTGGTCATACAGTTTGTATTCTGTTCCAAAAATGCGGATTTGTTTTAATATAACAATGTTTTTAATTACTTATCAGTTAAATTACTTAACTCACTGCCGTATCAGTGAGCATAATTAAAGCTCCAATAAGATGGGTCATATTTATTTTGCGACTCCAAGTACCCTGAAATCCCTATCACCTTGTACACTCAGAAGGATGCATATCCCATTTTGAGAAACAGGAATATAAACAAGCTAGCCATAACACTTTAAGTGATCAACATGTTCCTATAAACCCATTCAACTAAATTCTTATAGCTAGATATCACAACAGTTTTTCATATCAGTATTGTTTCCTTTTTTAGCAGCTTATTAGTATACAGTCAAGTGTCAACAGTCCTAAAAGACCCTGCAGGGAACAAGTTATTTCTGGAGAGACAGAATACTACCACACAGCCCTTGTCCTGCCCATCTAGCAAGATACCATGTTGGGGCTTGGCACCTGTTGCTCAGTGGTGAGGGCGCTGGCAGGTTTGAACCCAGGCCTGCTAAACAACAGTGACAACTAAAACAACAACAATATAGCCAGGTGTTTTGGTGGGCGCCTATAGTCCTAGCTACTTGGGAGGCTGAGGCAAGAGAATCACTTAAACCCAAAAGTCTGAGGTTGCTATGAGCTGTCATGCCACAGCACTCTACCCAATGTGACATAATAAAACTCTGTCTCAAAAAAAAAAAAAAAAAAAGGAAAGATACCACTTTGGCCCATCTGGAAAATAAAGATTTTAAGAATAGCAGAGCTTTCATTCCTATTCCCTCCTCCTCTATAGCTGCTCCAGGTACAGTTTATAAGAAAAATCTTATTCTCTTATATGATTCATTCAGATAAACTTATCTAATCTTGGCATTTATAATTTCTACCACTACACTCCTTTTAGCCATTACATAAGTACAATTAAATTACCTTCAGATTTTTCTACAGTATAAAAAAGACGTACTTTCTGGTAGCCCAAGAAGAAATAATTTTTATATTAGAACCCTATTTTGTTGTTTACAAGATCCCAAAGCACAGCAGACCCTAGTATTTATAAAAAGCCTTCAAGTTCCGTACAATGCCTATTTTATTGCAGAAATCATAGGCTGAAGTAAATTGATAATAACTATTGCAACCTGATACAAATATGGGCCATCAGCTAAGCTAACTCAAATTAATTAGGACAATTTTTATCCAGGATAACAGCTTCCCCAAGAACAGGATTCCATCTGTTTCTCATCAAAATTACAAACTGCCATAGGCCATGGACTTTTCAGGCTATTCTCCAATAATCAAAATATATATTCCAAGGGTGTCTACTGAAAAGCAGCCACCATTTCCTAGGGTATTCCTGCGTACATACCTAGAATAGTAAGTACTTAATGCTTTACACACACTCTTATTTACTCTGGAAACAGCCTCTGAGATTGACATTATTGTTCTCTCATAAATAAGGAGACTATAGGAATAAATACACAGGTTAAGTGACTTGCCCAGCATCTCCCAGCTAAAATGTGGTAATATAGTTTCAAACCCAGGACTATGATCATAAAGGCTGTAAACTCTCAATCACCTGATGTCCTGAATCTGCTATACTCAAGAATTATCCAGCAAATCTCTAATCCCAGGAGAGTTGTATTACTCTCATTTAAGACCAAGAAATGGAAATAGCACTTACCTCCCCGTGGCTGCAAAGTCAGTTTGAGGAGGGAAAACAGAAATCAGCTCTCAAGCCCCTGGTCAGCAATCTATCCACTAGTGCATCTTGTTCTTTGGCTCCAGGTCTGTGATCATTCTGAAGGAGAAGCATAAATCATTTTATGAAACATTAAAGTCACACAAATGCACATACAGTATGAAAAATAAAATGAGGGCAAACTGAAGACTGATAAAATTAGGAATAAAACAAAAAACCTATTAATACATCATGTCAGTAACTGAACTATTCAATAAACATTCATCAAGCCAATTACAAAACATTCATTTTTTTTTAGACATTTGCTGAGTATGTAAAGGTTTGTTGAGTATCAAAATTGCACTGTTACAATCTTGCAACCAAATAACAGCACATGGATTCAAACTACCAAAAAATTAATTTTTGTAAGTGCAGTAATAGCCCTAACCCATTTACCAACTTATTTCCTTATCTTCAGCAAGTAGTAGTCTTATTTAGTTTACACCACCAATTAATAGTATACTTTTCAGTTTAATAAGATAACTACAGGGGAATCTTTCACTGGCCTTTCAAAATCCTACAAGGACAGCAATAAAATATCTTTTTTAGTCAAATAATGGAATACCTTGTCAGCTGACATTTTCTCCCTAAATTACAAAATGAGCTGGCAAGCTTCAAGCAAGGGGAGAGTGGAATTTATCTCTATAGAAAAAAAGAAACTCCTAACTGAAAGAACTAAATTTGAATTTCCCAGGCGGCACACATAGCACAGTGGTTACAGCACCAACCACATACACCAAGGACAGCAGGTTCGAACCCAGCCCAGGCCAGCTAAACATCAATGACAACTACAACCAAAAAATAGCCAGGTGTTGGGCAGCGCCTGTGGCTCAGTGGGTAGGGCGCTGGCCCCATACACTGAGGGTGGTGGGTTCAAACCCAGCCCTGGCCAAACTGCAACAAAAAATAGCCGGGCCTTGTGGTGGGCACCTGTGGTCCCAGCTACTCGGGAGGCTGAGGCAAGAGAATCCCGTAAGCCCAGGAGTTGGAGGTTGCTGTGAGCTGTGATGCCACAGGCCTCTATCGAGGGTGAGAAAGTGAGACTCTGTCTCTACAAAAAAAAAAAAAAAAGCTGGGTGATGTGGTGGACACCTGTGGTCCCAGCTACTTGGGAGGCTGGCTGAGGCAAGAGAATTGCTTAAGCCCAAGGAGTTTGAGGTTGCTGTGAGCTGTGATGCCACTGCGAGACTGTCTCGAAAAGAAAAAAAGTTTCCAGAAAATTTAGCATATGAGGTACGTCTAAGAGGAAACCCATTTCCTAATGAACTCAAGTCCACAAAAATAAACTGATACAATATTTTCTTTAATAAAACTTACAAAAAAGTCTATGTTGAGAGGCAATTTATAACACAAATATAGAGGATTAGTGTACTTAATCCATATAATATCACGAGCAAGCTTCAAAGGGAATGAAATTTCATGCCACTGAAAAAGGAAGAGTGACCAAAAATGAGGATAAAGTGTGGGGTAAAAAAATGTATCCTTACCCTGAGGCTATATTTTAATCTATATGCAATGTTACAACTTTGCACTCAAATATTAAATCATGATAAAAATGCACAATGATATTCACAAGGAAGATACAAAGATAATGATTAGAGAAAAGTTTAGGGATGTTGAATGTGAGCCAGAAGGCTCACTGGAGACCAGGAGTTAGAGACCTACCTGGGCAACAAAGCAGGACTCCATCACTCATCACTAAGGGGACAAAAAAAAAAAAAAAAAAAGCTGGGCATGGTAGTGCCCACCTGAAGTTCTAGCTACTTGTGAGGCTAAAACAGGGGGAAAGCCTGAGCACTGGGGAGTTTGAGGTTACTGCAAGCTATGATCATAGCCCTGCACTCTAGGATGGGCAATAAAGCCACACCCTGTCAATAAATAAGTAAATAAGTATTTTAAAAAACAAATGTAGTATGACACATCTACATAGCCAACCGAGAACCAAAGTTGTATAATATTTGTCATTATTGGGTCAGTACCTGTAGCTCAGCGAATAGGGTGCCAGCCATATACAACAAAGCTGGCAGGCTCGGGCCCAGCCAGGGCCTGCTAAACAACAATGACAATTGCAACCAAAAAATAGCCGGGCACTGTGGTGGGCGCCTGTAGTCCCAGCTACTCAGGAGGTTGAGGCAAGAGAATCGCTTAAGCCCAAGAGTTTGAGGTTGCTGTGAGTTGTGACGCGACAGTGCTCTACTGAGGGCAACATACTGAGATTCTGTCTCAAAACTATAAAAAAATAAAAAATAAATAAAAGAAAATATTTGTCATTATTATTCTTTCTAAACCTGTTATGTCCTTTCTCAAAGTCCTAAATTATAACAAATCTTAGCAGTTTGAAGATCAACCCAATTTTTGGCAAACAGCCGGAAGTCATATGGTACCAAGAGAGGTAAATAAGGTAGATAGTCTGGTTTAAAAAAGTAAGTCTCTGTTGGCTCAGGGCCCATAGCTCAGTGATTAGGGCACCAGCCACATTCCCCTGGGGCTGGTGGGTTTGAACTCAGCCTGGACCTGCTAAACAACAATGACAACTACAACAAAAAAATAGGCAGGCATGGGGGTGGGGGGCGTCTAGTCCCAGCTACTGGGGAGGCTGAGACAAGAGAATCACTCAAGCCCAACAGTTTGAGGTTGTGGTGAGCTATGATGCCACAGCACTCTACCAAGGATGACATAATGAGAATCTGTCTCAAAAAAAAAAAAAAAAAGTCTATAAAGGAGATGATGTGAAGCAACTATGATATCAGCAGCATCCTTGAAGCAGAAAAACAATCTCTAGAGGTGACTTTCTGCCAGCAGGCACCACTATGTAGGCTGTGCCACAGGACTCCTCCCCAAGGCCTTAGTCAGCCACAGGTGGTCTCTGCCAAGGAAAACCCAAGCCACTCAGAGAAATCCCATGTGGGTGCCCTCATTTTTGTGTGTCCCTTAAAACAAAATCCTAAAGCTCTTAGAATTTGGATGCATCTTAAGGATTAATTTTTACACCTCCTATATTTTCTTTCCTTTTTTTTTTTTTTTTTGAGCCAAGAGGCTCACTATGCTGCCCTCAGTAGAGTGTTTCACAGCTCACAGCACCCTCAAACTCTTGGGCTTAAGCGATTCTCTTGCCTCTTGGAGAACAAGACTCTCCCAACTAGGTGCAGCTACAGGCGCCCGCCACAACACAAGGCTATTTTTGTTGTTGTTGTTACTATTATTGTTGCTTAGCAGGCCCTGGCTGGTTCGAATCCAGTGCATATGGCCAAAACCCTAACCACTCAGCTATGGGTACTGCACCCTATATTTTCTTTTTTGTTTTTTGGCCAGGGCTGGGTTTGAACCCGCCACCTCCAGTATATGCAGCCAGCACCCTATTCCTTTGAGCCACAGGCGCCGCCCGAGCCCTATATTTTCTTATATAGGCTGAAAAGAGTAGTTCACAACTATTCTTAAATAAGCAATATATTTTGTGTATGGAAACATTCCTATTTTAATCTTCCTCATACTACTGACTTAAATAAGTAGGTCTTTTGGGTTACCTTGATGTACCAATTCACCCTCAATTTATTCTCTCTGTAGATCTGGTTTTCTAATGAAAAAAGTAAAAATAGGTACAATCCCTGAAATACAGGAATCTCAAAGGACAGCAACTGTGTGGACAAAGTCTGTATCATTAAAACACCATAAATAATGAATAAGACAAGAAGCTGATAACTGCCTATGGAACAACCAAACCAAGAAGCAAAACATGGTCTGTGAAACCCTGTGCTAACCTGAGAAAACAAGCTTTACTCCTGGCTCAATTACAAACCTTGTCCATTTTTAGTTTTAACTTTCTTTCTCTTTTTTTGAGACAGAGCCTCAAGCTGTCTCCCCTGGGTAGAGTGCTGTAGCATCACAGCTCACAGCAACCTCCAACTCCTGGGCGCAAGCGAGTCTCCTGCCTCTGCTTCCCAAGTAGCTGGGACCACAGGTGCCCACCACAACGCCTGGCTATTTTTTGGTTACAGCCGTCATTGTTGTTTGACAGGCCCGGGCTGGATTCAAACCTGCCACCTTAGGTGTATGTGGCTGGCGCCTTAGCCACTTGAGCCACAGGCGCCGAGACAAGTTTTAACTTTCATGGAGCTTATTTTAATAAATGAAATATGCCAACTTAACCACAATTTCAAAAGGAAAACTGAAAATCACACACAAAAAATGCAACAAATTACACAAATGGACTAATAGATAATTAGAGGTGGTTCTATTTCCAAGCTCAACACTACATCAACAGTATGGATATTTATTTAGTATAATTTCGTGGAGAAGAGGGAGGACAGGAACATTTTGTGGGGTTCAAAAAAAGGATGTTGTACGAGCACTCTGGGAGGCCAAGGTAGGTGGGACTGCCTGAGCTCAGGAGTTTGAGACCAGCCTGAGCAAAAGCAAGACCCCATATCTACTAAAAATAGAAAAACTGAGGCAAGAGGATCTCTTGAGTGGGAGGCTGCCATGAGCTATGACGCCACCGCACTCTACCTAGGCGGAAAGCTTGAGACTCTGTCTCATAGGAAAAAAAAAAGGATGTTGTGTTCGGGTACAGTAGCTCACTCCTATAATCCTAGCACTCTGGGATGCCAAGGTGGGTAGACTGCATGAGCTCACAGGTTTGAGACCAGCCTGTGCCGGAGCAATACTGTGTCTCTAAAAATAGCCTGGCATTGTGGCAAATGATCTGTATTATCTGTTTTAATGATACAGATGCCCAAGTTTCAGCTACCTGGGAGGCAGAGGCAAGAGAATCAATCACCTGAGTCGAAGAGTTTGAGGTGCTGTGAGCTGTGATACTACAGCACTCTACCAGGGTGACAAAGTGAGACTCTGTCTCCAACACACACACACAAAAGGATGTTGAAAGACTTGCCTATGGAGGCAGATGCCACAAGGACCCACAGATTGAGATTATATACAGAGGACCAGACAATTCGGTATAGCACCAGTCTGTTTTTAATTTCCTCATAAATTTAACATATTTTTCCTTCCTAAAAAAAGGAAGGTTAATCTACACTTTCTTCTCCCCAAAGCAACC